AGTTTATTCTTCCTCGATACAAACTTTTAGTACAGAGAAAGTTCCACAATCAGTACGTTTCTCGTCACTTTAAACTTAACTTTTATAATACAAGCTATAAATCACAGCGATTCACAATCTTGATAACTTCACTCTTTACGGCTCACTAGCTCTAAACTAACAGAATCATAAATTACACGGAACTCAAAGTAACTACTACTCTCTCTTCATTAACCTTGCTGGCTTACTCTGCCAGGCTTATATACTAACGAAGAGGGCATCTCGGACTTCCCCGATCATTCGAGAAACTCACCACGCACGCCAGCAGCGTCACGTGATTTCCGATGTCGTAACAATTCACTTGGCTTTGAAGCAAAAACATGTCTATGTCCTTTTTAACACCTTCCACATTTGCATACGTTTTCCCATTAACATGGTGTTGCAACGAACGAAAAAGATGATAATCTGATGGTGCCATATCTGGAGAATATGTTGTGTAGGGGAGAACTTCCCAACCCAATTCCATAATCTTGTGCTGCGTAAAATGTTCCACATGCGGACATGCATTGTCGTCGAGAAGAAGAACACCTTTCCGATTGACGAGTGAAGGGCGTTTACGATGAAGGGCTTGATTTAAACATTCCAGTTGCTGACTATAGATCTCTACATTAACACTTCGCTGTGGATTGAAGAGTTCATAATGAATTACTCCTTTGATGTCCCACCACATGCAAAGCATCGCTTTCTGTGGATGGAGTCAATGTTTTGGGGTCGGAAGTGATTTTTGTCTAGGACTGATGCATTGTTTTTGGCGTTTAATATACGAATGGAGAATCCATTTTTCATCACCGGTGACAATTCTGTCCAAAAGTGGTTCACGCGCATTACGCGCCAGAAGAGACGAAACAACATTCACACGTGGGAAACATGATCATCGGAGAGCTCGTGAGGCACTCAAACACCTTCTTTATGGAGTTTCCCATATTCCTTAGATGTTTACGTATTGTGTCATGAGAGACATGCAATTTCAGGGACATTTCACGAGTGTGTTGCCTTGGGTTAGACTCCACAAGCGTCTTCAAAGCATCAATATCAATTCCAACATCTCGGCCCCTGCCATCACAGTTTTTAAGGCTAGTCCCCTGAACGAAATTTGCTGAACCATTGTTGACACTTA